TAAAAAAAATTTTTTTTAAAAAAAGACCTGAAACTATAAAACTCCTAGAAGAATACATAGAGGAAACACTTCAGGAGGTAATACTGGGCAGTGGCTTTATGAATAAGACCCTAAAAGCACAGCCAATAAAAGAAAAATAAACCAATGGCATTATACCAAACCAAAAAACTTCTGCACAGCAAAGGAAACAATCGGCAGAATGAAGAGACAACCTACAGAATGGAGAAAATATTTGCAAATTATAAATCCAACAAAGGATTAATATCCAGAATATACAAGGAGCTCAACAACTTAACAGTAAAAAAAAAGCAAGTAACCTGATTAAAAAATGGGCAAAGGAGCTGAATAGTCATTTCTCAATGGAAGATATACAAATGGCCAACAGGCACATGAAAAAATCCTCAACATCACTAAGTATCAGGAAAATGCAAATCAAAACCACATTGAGATATCACCCAGTTAGATTGGCCATTACCAAAAAACTTTTTTCATTAGATAAAATTCTTAATTCTGGAGACTTCTGGTCAAGATGACAGAATAAACGGTACCCAGCATCACCCTCTCCCACAATCAACAAATTTACAAATATTAAAATGCAACGACTGCCAAGCTGGGGCCACTAGAGCTCAGGGGAAAAGGAAGAGAGACCTACAGAGTTCATGAAGGTGGGAGAAGCCATGATGAGAGAAAGAAAGGACAGCTCTGATTGTTTCAAGCCCTGTCCACTTCAAAGTTGGCCCTGGTGAGCACATGGAGCAAGAGCTGGAAAAAGTCACAGCTGTGCCCTTCATATGAAGTTGCTTGGAGGCTTCAGCAGAGAAGAGGGCCCTGGTGACCCCCACACCAGCTAGACCACTAATAGGGTTCCCATGGACCCACATAAGACTGAGAAGCCACAGACAACTGAAAAACAGAGCCACACAGAGGCCAGTGAGTCCTTGCAAGTGACCAGCACATGGACCATCTTATGGGAAGTGTTTAGAGGGTGGATGGTGGGCAAGACGGACCCAGCAGGGGAACATTGGGGCACAGCATGGACAGCTGATCCACCCTCCAGTCAGCATAGGATAACTCAGTGGAGACTGGTCAGGAATATAGAACTTCATGGGTGCAGTTTGCTGAAAAAGCTCAGGCCCAGACCAGAGTTCCCACACAACCCAGGGGTACCAGACCTCATAAGACTTGGAAGTGCTTGCAAGGTCAACAATTAAAACCTGAGCTGCACAAAAAGCCTTCCCAGGGAATCAGCAGCAGAGCAACAATTCAGCTCAACCACAGGGCTCAAGTACTGGTCCCCACGGGAAGTTCTCCCATTTTAGAAGCAAGCAAAGGACAACAAATTAGTTCCAGTGCAGAGTTTAAGTGCTGGGGGTAGCTAATAAACCAACACAAAACTAAAGAAAAAACAAAACTCCCACAGACAAGGGACAAAATTTTTATATTAACTGGTAAAGATCTAACACCACTAAAGAACACCTATAAAACCTAGAAGGACTGGAAGCCCCACAGTCTCCCAAGCCCTGGTGGGGGGAGCCAAAGGCCTCAGCCATGCCCTTCCAACATCCACCTGCAGCCCAGTGATGACTACCGAGCTGCCACCAGAAATGTCCTGGGCTCCTGAGCCAGAGCAGTGGAAGGTTGAGGGCCTCAACCACACCCCCTGACAGCTGTGTCCAGCCCAGCAACAACCACCAGACCACTACTGTAAGTGCCCCAGGCTCCAAAGCTGGGGTGGTGGGAGACCGAGGGCTTCAGTCACACACCCCTGACATCTGTATCCAGCCCAGCGATGACCACTAGGCTGCTGCAGGATGCACCCCAGACTCCTGAGCCATGGCATGGGTGGGGCCAAGGGCCTCAACCACATCCCCCTGACGTATTCATCCAGCCCAGCAACTAACGAGCTACCACCAGAAGCCCACGGCCTCAACCACACTCCCCTCCCCCTTCCTCTCTCTCCCTCCACCCCAACTGCTCCACAACAACATCTTAGAATGTAGTAATAATAATAATAAAGAAAGAAAGAAAAAGAAAAAACTCTTAATTCTTTTCACATAAATGGCAAATTTTACCCAGCTGGGTCAAGAAAGGAAAGAATTGGAGAAAAACCAATGGAAAATTTATATGATCCCTTTGGCAAAAAGTTAAATAAATTCAATCAATTTTCATTTGAAATGACTCTTAATTCTTTTCACATAAATGGCAAATTTTACCCAGCTGGGTCAAGAAAGGAAAGAATTGGAGAAAAACCAATGAAAAATTTATATGATCCCTTTGGCAAAAAGTTAAATAAATTCAATCAATTTTCATTTGAAATGTGCAATGAGTCAGTCTGTTGTATTTGTCTTACAATTTATAAAGCATAATTTTAAAAATAGTATTGAAATGACACACTGTACTCCACAAACATGTACAAGTAAATGTCAAAATAAATTTTAAGTAAATAAATAAATAAATAAAGCCTGGATTTGGATTCCAGGCTTTCTTTACTATTATTTTCATCTTTTTATAACTGACCCTATACTTGTAGACTGTCTCAAAAAATGTTCCTTATGTGTTCTTAAGAAAAAAATGCAGGCTAGCAGACACATTAGAATTCCCACAGTCAAAAATTTTGTGGAGGAATAACTGAATCATTGTTTTCATTGGACAATGGGCTTGAGTCCTTTTTGGTATAGCAGCAAAGAAATAAGAATTTTCAGATGTTAAAACTATTGCCAAAAATGTTTTAATCATTTTTAAATGAATACAATTACCTAAACTATCAAATTCATTTTAAAACAAATAAATTATAACTGTATGAAAAACAATGGCCTGAGAAATGCTACTTTCTATAACTTATTTATTTACTTTGTTTATTTATTGATTTTTTGTTTCACTACTATACAAACAGCACATAGGCAGGGATTTTTGTTGGTTTTCTTTCATAGATATATCCCAGCTGCCTAGAACAGTGACTGATACATATTAGAAGTTCAACAAATTTGTTAGACAAATAATATCCTTGCTGTTCAATTTTAACAACTATTTAGCTATTTAATAAAAGTTTTAAATAAATACTTTTAAAAAACTAAATAGAAATCATCAAGAAAAGATCATTAGGAGATTTATTAATATCCTCAGGTTAACCCAAAACAATAAAGGAGATTTTCTAAAATTGCATAATTTTCCTTCAGGAAATGTAAGTACTGTGAAAACTTGGTTCACACAAAAGATTTTTAAAAAACAAGTATAAGTGTATTTCTAAGTGTTGATGGCTTCACTAAAATAATCTATAATTTCCAGTACCACCCCTGGGTTCCATCAGTACCAAATCATCACCGTTTTTCTCCCCTCCTCTTATCCCATACAAATGTAATGTCAGTCGAGGTGGTTTCATGACTTAATATAAACAATAATTTCTAGTTGATGACGTTCAGGCTTGCTAAAGTTTAAGAGGTAGGAAATTACTATATGTTAGCCAGAAGGGACGAATAACGTGGACCAGTTTTTCAACAGTAGAGGTTCTGCTGGAAGATACCTGCATTACCTTTTTCATACCCTGACCAGACCATCGACACCCAGGCCATTAAGCACTGGATAGATGCAGGAATGTCTTCACTGTGAAGAGACAGTTCCCACAATCCCTACACGTCTAGTCATTCAGGTTTTCCTGTCAGCATCCTGGCCCATGACCATCTCCCCTCATTTTCTCTGTGCTCCAGGGAAAGGTCATTTTCCCCGGTCAGGTCCTGTGCAGTCCAACTCTGCTCCTGTAATTCAATTGCTCATCTATGCCCTTTTACCTGATGGGGAAGTGACTGGGGAATCTACAAAATTTGAGATTGAAAATTGTCATCCCAACTAGGTGGGTGATTTATTTCCTAAAATTAGAAAAAAAAAAAATGAAAGCAGAAACAGCAGTCTAGGAAGGACATAGATTACTTTATAGATGAAGAAAATGAGGCCATAATAACTTAGTAACTAATCCAAAGTCATACAATTTAATGAAAGTAGAAACAGCAGTCTAGGAAGGACATAGATTACGTTATAGATGAAGAAAATGAGGCCATAATAACTTAGTAACTAATCCAAAGTCATACAATTTAATAGCAAGGTCTTCCAACTCTGGTTTCAGCACACTGTTTTTTTTCCTCCTGCCCCCTTTATTATTATTTTTGTATGTGTGTGATATGAACACTTAACATACGATCTGTCCTCTTAGCAAATTTTTAAGTATAAAATACAGTATTATTAACTGTAGGCACTATGCTGTACAGTAGATCTCTAGGATTTATTCATTTTGGATAATCAAAACTTTGTACCCTTTGATTAATATCTCCCAGTTTCTCCCTCCCCCGACCCCGGGCAGCCACCATACTACCCTCTACTTCTTTCAGCAAGCTTTTAATCACACTGTGCTACGAATTTTAAATACAACCCCATCCAGACCCATCCACTTCACTTCTCTGAAATGAAATGGGAAGTGTAAGAAAAGAAAGAGTGATCTCCAATTAGAATGACTGACATTTCACCAATAGCAGTAGAACAAATGTATCATTTGTCCCTAAAAAGAAGTAATTAACAAGAATATTCATCACTTTCAAATGCTTATTTGTTGCTACATAATATTACTGGTCCACATGCTAACTGTTCAATAAACCTTGGTGAAGGAAAGAAAAGCAAAGGGCTTCAGGACTAACTCTCTGGCAATCATCATTTAGCAAAACAGACTTATGTGTTGAACATGCAGATGACTCAAAAATGTGAGAGGACTGTGATATCAACTAGTTTACTAACCTGATGATTTACCCTTTCTCACAGGTGGATTTGAGTTTCGGCCCAGCACAAAGTCTTCCAGTCTCCCACGCCCACCAGCAAGTCGCTGCTTCTCTGCAGTCCCTTCACTCCCTCCGTGCAGTGGACCAGTGTGTGCTGCTCATGAGGTCTGAGGCCGAGCTCTCCCCATCCTCAGTGAGTCCCCAACAGCCTTGGGTGTCAGAAACCGACACATGAGGGTCTCAGAGCACAGACAAAACCCTGTTCAGAAAAGGAAGTAATAATTTAAAATACTTTTTACATTTATTTGGGGATTGTTAATTATCAAAGTTCTTTAACATACATTATCATATTCAATGCTTGTGCCATCCCTGAGAGATATCTTCATTACAACAAGATCTAAAAGTACAGTTCAGAAAAATTTAGCCATTTAGTCAAGATAAAACAGAAACTAATACAGCCAGTAAGTTACAGAGCTTGGATCTGATTTTGGATATTCTGTCTACATACCTGTAATCTATTATACCACTGCTATCTTCATAATGAGTCAAATGCATATCATAATTACTTTGCCCTTAACATACTCAATATAGAGCCTGAAAAGTAGTGTTGGTCATTGGGCACAAAGTAAACTTTTTGTAAAAATGGAATCTTACAAATTTCAAGGGTCCTTAAAATAGAATAAAATAAAATAATAAAAAAATAAAAATAAAGAGAGGGGATTCTCAAACTCTTCAAAACTCTCAAAAGCACAATTGAAATTATAAACTATTTGTGGGAGCAAGATGGTGACGGGTATGGAGCGGGCGTGCCAGAGGACAGATCGAGCCTGAGAAGTGTGCGCTGTGCTGCCAGAGTACTATTTGCATTTCCAAGAGCAACAAAAAACAAATAAATCACTGATCAACTAATCTGCAACAAAAAAAAAGCAACTACAGTCTCGAGGTTTTAGGGCCGATGCAAAAGAAGATTCCTGAGAGTACCCCAAACGCGCCGGGAGACCAAGCAGCCCAAGGCAACAAAGGCCAGGAAAGACAGCAGCGGCGACGCAGAGACAGAGAGGAAGGTGTGGGACCGGCACAGCTCTGGGAGCTTTGTGAGTGACCCCCAGCCCAGCCGCTTACCACACCAGGATAGGCGCCTTCTTCAGCGCTGCCTC